GTTTAAACTCAGGTCCTATAAGATTTCACCCCCCTTTTCTCTCCTTCATGAGGGTGATCTAGCTGGTGGAAGAGGCCTTGTGGGATGGAGGTGTAATTCATGGCCTCCATCTGTCCTTGCCCTCCATCTGTCCACTTGCTAGATAAGGTACTCTGAGCTTTGGTCATTAGCACATACCTGTTCTTAAAGTTCTTGTTCCTCTTCCTCTTATGTAAGGAGCTCTGGTGGTGTAGTGGTCAAGGCATTTGGCTGCTAACCAAAAGGTCGGTGATTCAAACCCACCAGCTGCTCTGTGGAAGAAAGATGAGACAGTCTGCTTCCATAAAGATTTACAGCCTTGGAAAACAATAAGGGTCGCTTTGAGTCAGAATCCAATTGACGGCAGTAAGTTTGGTTTGGTTTTTGGTTTCCCTCTTGTGTAGGGTCTATATAGGTCACTGTCTTTTTCATGTCAAAAGAATGCCTTTCCAGACCATGTCTGTACTCCTCCTGCAGCACAGGAAATTACTGTGTACATCCTCTAGACTGAGATACAGGGTCTTACAGGACAGTCCCTTCTGGCTTTCCTGAATGTCTTCTTCAGTCATTTCTACTCTCCACTCAGGAACCAGATTATATGAAGGAGGTGCTCCCAGCAGAGGCAGGCAATGGTCCCTTCTGCTCTGGGAATCCCCCCAGTTTTTCTGTAATTTCTATTGTTCCATCTTATATTGATCCTGAAGTCTTTCTCAGGGACAGACCATAGTAAAGTGAGACCCTTTGCAATGTCCCCAAGAGCTCTAATCACATCCCCTCTGATTTGTCTCTTCCCACCCACTGGAATCACTTTTATTTGCCTTGAGCTGAGAAAAACACTCTTCTTCCCTCTTCTGTCATTTATGGTATAAACTTCAAGTTCTGAATCTTTTAGGCCTTTAGCCATGTGCCTCACAAAACCTTTTTTCTCTGTCTAGAAGCCTGACTCTGAAAGACTGACTTTTTTTTTTTTTTTAATTTTATTGTGATTTGGGTGGAAGTTTACAGAGCAAATTCATCTTCGATACAGTAGTTCACATACATTTTGTCTCATGACATTGACCGTAATCTCCCACAATGCAACAGCTCTCCTCCCACTTCCTCCAAATACCCATCTCTTCCCTGTGTCCTTCCCTCCTATGCACTTCTGCCCCCTGAGCTGTGGTCTGTGCATACATAGCCCTTCTATTCTCCCATGATTGTTCTCTCCAAGGAGTATATCTACCTAATGTAAATGTTCAGCTCATTTGCCTCTCTTTTGTTTGGCTGGAAGCCATCGGAGTGGGTTCAATTCCAGACCTGAAGGGAAGCTATAGGCCATAGTCTCAGGGGTTCCACCAGGCTCTATCAGACCAGAAAGCCTGGTACGGCCCCCCCCCCTTTTTTTTTTTAATGATTTTGAGTTTTGTTCCACATTGTTGTCCCACTCTATTCAGGATCTCCTACATAGATCCCCTTCTGAGTGGCTGACATTGGTAGCCGGGCACCATCTAGTTCTTCTGGCCTCATAGTCACATAGGCTAAGGATCGCATGGTATACCAGTCCCTTGGACTAATTGTTTCCATGCATCTTTGGGTTTTTTAATTCTTCTTTACTCTGGACGAAGAGAGACTCATCATTACAACTAGATGGCTGCTTGCAAGCTTTTAAGATCCCAGTCACTACTCGCCAAAGTAGGATGTGGAACAATGTTTTTGTGTAGTATGTTATGCCAGTTGAGCTTGATGTCCTCTGCAGACATGGTCCCGAGCCCACAGGTCCAACTACTCACTCCCTCTGGGTAGCTGGCTGTGGCCAAGAAGTGACTACAATCATGTCCCTTATCAGCTCTACTATATACCTGGAAATTCTTATAGAACATACAAAGACAATTGTAGAAACATTGTTTGCCAACCCTATACACGGCCTTGGTGAAAGCCTGTCTCTTAAGACCATATTATCTGCTGTGAATTCAAAGTAATTATTTCTCACACACAGTCTTCCCCCCATCTGTCTGTCTCTCTCTCTAACATACGCACATACATACTCTGGTCCCTGAAATAGTAAGTACCAAGAGCTTAATAGGTGGAGGGACAAAGTGCAAGAAGAAACTCCCAGGAAAGAAATCATTGATTTTTACCTCAAAATGGTACTGAATATCTGTTAAATATATGGAGTTCCCCTTGTGAACTTTTGAGAACAGGGAACATTTCTTGGTCGTTTTTGAAGCTCTACAGCTGCACCGACCAACACGGGTGCTACTAGCCACATGTGCACTTGAAAGTGCACTTGTGCACTGGAAGAGTGGCTCATCCAAGTGGAGATGTGCTGTAAGCATAATATACATACTGGCTTTCAAATAGTTACAATAGAAAGTAATGCAAAATATCTCTAATTACTTTTTATATTGATTACGTATTGAAATGATAATATTTTGGATAATTGGGTTAAATAAAAAAATTAATTTTACTTGTTTCTTTTTACAAAAAGAAACAGCAAGCCTGTCCCCCCCCCCTTTTTTTAAATGATTTTGAGTTTTGTTCCACATTGTTCTCCCACTCCATCCAGGATCTCCTACATAGATCCCCCTCTGAGTGGTTGACAGTGGTAGCCAGGCACCATCTACTTCTGGTCTCATAGTCAGTCATATAGGCTGAGGATCACATGGCTACTAGAAAATGTTAATGTACATATATGGCTCATTTTCCACATTTTCAGTGCTGCTCTAAAGCCTGAAACAGTGTTTGCTTAGGTCCAAGTAAATGTAAAGAAAGAAAGAGGAAAGAAGGAAGGGAAAGAGGAGGAAAGGAATTAAAATATGTATGGCATTGCAAAAGGGGCTTGGGGTCGGCATCTTCTGACTTCCTTCTCTAACTTCGTAAGAAGGAGACAGAATTACCATCAGCAGCTCAAGGCTCATTCCTATGAGGCCAGATGTGCCACCACCATCCAGCCTTTTTACCAGTTCTGACACTAACCATCCTTCCCACAGCACTCAGTACTTCTCTGCCAGGTTTGATAATTCACTGCAATGGCCACACACAACTCACAGACAATACTCAAGATTTTTGGGTTCATTAGTGAAATAACAGGCTACAATTCAGGTCCGGGAACACTCTCAGGATACAATTCTTCGATCAGGACAGTCTCCCCTCTGTTATGCCCCTCAGGCCCACCTCTTGGCCTGGCCTTTGTCCTGCTTGGGCAACTGTTACAAAGCTCTTGTAGCTCTGCAGATAGGTACACTTAGGTGCATCCCACTCTGCCAGCAAGCCTCCTGCCCAAAGGCACTCATCTTTCTTGCTCATAGGCCACTGGCCTGACACTTTGTCTCATGCCTCTTGGCTCCTCAGCTGGTTGTTTCTGCTGTCTTTCTGTGAAGGAAGTCCAGCGCAGGGACCTCAGGTCCAAGGAGATCTCGTGTCCAAGGAGAACTCGGGTCCCAGGACATGCTCCACTCCAACTCCAATTCTTCTCTCTTGATGGCAGTGAGATCCCCTCTTCTTGCCTCTAGGAGGGCTCATTTTAAGCCAACAGCATAGCAAAACTAACCAATCCCGATATTAGAGTTTCATACCCCTTATTTGCATGGTCCCACCCAGTTATCTGGTGTGAGTCAAAGACCACGGCTGGAAAAGCCATACCAAGTAATTCACTACGCCACAGGCATCAAAGAACTTTTTTGTTTTTTTCCCTTCTAAGTAGGGGTAGGAAGAGCATTGAACAAGGATTACCTTGAGGTCCAGAGTCTGGCCATCAGCCTTTTGGGTATTCTTAGTATCCAGAGAAGATAAGACAGATCACAAGTATTTATACCAATATAGAGAATATTTATTTCCAGTGGTTGGAATACATTTATCTGACTCACTCCTCAGAAGAAAGCCTGGGCAATCTACTTCCATTGTGATATCACCTCAAAAACCCAAGGAAGGCTTGCTATGAGTCGGATCTGACTCGACGGCAGTGAGTTTGGTTTTTTTTTGGTTTTGGACTCTTGGATACTCCTTCCTTATTATCACAGTACCCAGGATAGTTTGATGGGTGGAAAATTACTTCATGAGCATGGATCTAGATCAAGAACGTATGGAGATTCTTTGTGGGATATTTTGCTAGCCTATGGGGAGCTCTGGTAGCATAGTGCCTAAAGCATTTGACTGCTAACAAGAAGGCTGGTGGTTCATACCCACTAGCCACTCCTCGGAATAGAGATTGGACAATCTACTTCTGTAGAGATACTGCCTTGGAAACCCAAGGAGGGGTTGCTATATGAGTCGAACGGAATCAGTTTGGTTTTGTTTTATTTTGCTAGCCCATGATGATAACTGGTGACTTATCCCAGCTGCATAATTAAGAATACCCCTCTAAGTGATATGGATATCCCCCAGTTCCAGAGTTTCTCTTCTCAAATACTGTAGTGTGGCCACTGACACTACTTTTATATGCTTAAGATTTCCTTTATTTTGATATATTGATATGCTGTTCATGTGTTTGGGAGACACTCTGCCTTCTCTTATTAGGTGCTAACTGCATTAACCCTATTCTCAAGAGTTCTAGAGATACCTCTATTTGTAGTGGTAGAAGTCATGCATTCTTCTAAGAGAAACAGAATCTTCCCTCCATTTTGCTCTTTGTCAGCTGCTTTGCTGATAATGTTGACTTGAGTCTCAGTCTCTGTGAACCTCAGATTTGCCATCTGTTAAGTGAAGATACTACCCAAATCACAGATTAACTGAAGATAATCAATGTAAAAATGCTTTGAAGACAGCAGATTTCTCTATAAACTCTTTAACATATAGTCAAATGTAAGCTATTATTATGTTGATGCTAACTGATGATAATTTGTCTCAAAACAACACCTTTGTGTGTCTGCTACAGATGCAGAGACTTGGAACCAGGAGGAGGTCATTATTTGGAAGATCAGAGAGATAATATGCATTTAGTACCCAAATAGGCGATATGATTTGTTAGATCATAACAGTCTTTTTAATTATTTTTCTTTCATCAGACCCAAAATATGGAACTGGCATATACTTCACCAAGAACCTCAAAAAGCTAGCGGACCAGATCAAGAAAACCTCTGCCATGGATAAGCTGATCTATGTGTTTGAGGCTGATGTACTCACAGGGTCCTTCTGCCAGGGTTGTCCATTAAATATTGTCCCCCCACCATTGAGTCCTGGAGACATGGATGGCCATGACAGTGTGGTTGACAATGTTTCCAGCCCTGAGACCTTTGTTATTTTTAGTGGCATACAGGCTTTGCCCCAATATCTTTGGACTTGCACGCAGGATCAAGTACGGTCACAGGATTACTCACAGATGATGATTTGTCCATGGCTAAATTGGGAAAGATCCCCAAAAGGTAGTTCTGTTTATTAACCTCCAGACAGTGGTAACAACTGCCATGGGCTTGCTTTGGGAGAACTAATCAAATGATTAACTAACCATTAATGATTCAAAGAGTGTTTTGAATATGCCAAATGTGTTATCTGTATAGACTGGGTAATTGAAGGGACCCGCCACATACTAGCATCTTAGTGCCTTCATCTCTTGGGGTTGGGGTTGGTAGGTACCAACTAGAGTGCTCTCAGGACCACTTCCTTTACTACAAGTAAGGGCAAAAACAGTTTTTCGTATAACAAGAGATTTTTCTAGTATGTAATCCAAGCCTTTTTTATTTTTCAATATGATTAGAGTATAACATACTAGGTCAGCCAGGATTATTTTAGATTTTCCAAAGAATCTTATAAAGTGTTTTATATATCAAAATAAATCATCTTGGTGATGGAAAATTTGGCAATGATTATGGGTAATGTTTGTACAACATGATTAATGCAATTGGTATCACTAAATTGTATACCTGAAAAACACTGAATTGGCAAATGTTGTATTATATATATTTTGCAACAATAAAAAAATACATCACCTTTGTCTGAGTAACTGGCTCTAAAAAAATACATGTAAAATGAAATTATTTGACAAACAACATCAAAAGGCAGACATTCTGCTAATGTTCTTTTTGATACAGCAAAACCATGTAAGACAATGCCACTTGGCACCATGAAGCCTAAATTATTAATTAACTATGTATTGATCATCAGATGTGTTTCAGTCACTTACTGGGTGTGAGGATAGGGTTCTGGACAAAACCAATGTCCTTAAAGTTTGTGGCCTAAATAATCAGAAAGGCAGATATGGACAACTTAACAAGTATGACTAAGTATAACCAAAGGGAAACAGGACTAAATTAGTCAGAGGTTGGGAGGAAGGCCTAAAAAAAAAATGAAATTACTGAGACCTGAGGAGTTTGTAGGGGTTAGCTGCATGAATTAAAACAAACAAACAAACGAAAAAAACACTGCCACTAAACCGATTTCCACTCAGAGCAACCCTGGGGCAGAAGAGAACTACAGGAGCAGACTGGAGAGAGTATAGCTCCTATAAAAGTTGAGTCCATCCTGACTGTGCCCAAATTTGACTGCAGAGTTCTGTTGGGAACATAAGAGACCAGCTAATCTCACCACTCATACCTTGCTCACTTTCAAATCCCTGTTTCCCTATACTTCTAGATTGTTCTGGGCCTCTTGTACAGAATACTTCCTCCCCCTTGTCTTATTTGAAAGAGCATTCTCCCCTTTTGAAGGGAGCCTGCTTATTGTCTCATGTTTTTTTCCTTGGACATGGGCAAGAGGAGCCCTGCCTTGACCCCTAGTTTGAGAAGTCCCCTGCCTTGGGTTTCCTGCTTGAGAGGGCTCCACTCTAGCCCTCCTCCAGCTGTGCCCATCCCCACAAGTTGAGCCTACAAGGCCAAGAGAACATACCTATCTGGAATATGAACTTCACACTTCTAGACCACCCACAGCAGTGAGTTTTGCCTTGGTTCTCTCCGACCCAAGGGTAGACTGTGCCACAGTCTGCACCAAGAATGGCAAGGGGTGACTGTTTGCAGGGATGTGTTGGGGGTTAATGGAACTTAGACATAAAGGCTGCGGTATCCCTATGTATACGCTTGAGGCCACTGATGCAGGACAGAGCTGAGGGTGAGAGCACATACATGAAAAATCCAGCATAGGTTTAATCAGAGTTTCAAAAGAAATGGGAGGCAAGGCAATGTTCACAAGGATAAATAAGAAAAGCGTACTAAAAAACATAGTGAAACTGGAGACAATAAAGAGGTAATCTTGAGAGCAACCAAAGAGAAAAGTCAAATCATCTACAAAGAATGACCATTAGACTGCTAGCATACTTTTTATGTATGGTGGTTATGTTTGTGTGTCAACTTGGCTGGGCCTGGTTGAGTGGCTGGGCAGCTGGTGGTAGTTATTCCCCATGATGAGACTGGCAATCA